ACAAAGGAAGACCCTATCTCCAAAAAAAAAAAAAAAAAAAATCATTAAAACAAAACATACTGTGTGCATAAAGAAAAGAAAATCTGACCTGATATCTTTCAGGGCACTGATCTTGTACATTGGCTGCTGTTAATGCTTCAGCAGGCCCTGTACAGCCTGCTTCAGTTCTTCAGTCACCTACCCAAGGGGGGAAAAAAAACACAGGAGCTACTGTGTAAGAGGCTTATCCAACCCTGGTATTCTTATCTCATACATGCACCATATATACAAACCTATAATCCCAAGCCTCACCTGAGCCTGAGAGTGAAACTGGGATCAGAGAATAGTAAATTCATTCCAGAGAGAGGGTGGCTTAGAGGCTTCAGCCCCACTGAGACTCTCGAGAACAAGGAAAGCGTCTTGAGTCATGGCTGATGAGTTTGGGCTCCTAACCAGGGAGGCAAATGACAAGAGGAAATCTAGGTTCCAGTCAGCTCTCCTGTGAGAGAATAAAGAAGGTGCAAGGGCAAGGTCTGTGTGGGAAAGAATTGTGGGAGAACAGAATGTTTGAGAAAAGAGCTCAGCAAAGGGTTGGAATTTGCAAGGAATACTGAATGGTACAGGTATGCCGAGAAGGCAGATCTAAAAATAAAAACTGAAAAAAGAAAATTAAAAAGCACCTGAGGTACATCCCCGGTTCCTCCAAAAGTAAAAAAGAATAAAAATAAACAAATAAAAGAGGGCAGACCTTGAAAAGAGAAAAGGCTTGGGGCCGGGGAGATGGCTCAGTGGAATAAGCACTTCCCTGGCAAGCGCAAGGGCCTGAGTTCAAACCCCGGTTCCACCAAAATAGAGAGAGAGAGAGAGAGAGAGAGAGAGAGAGAGAGAGAGAGAGAGAGCTGGGGATTAAAAGGAGACAGTAATTATCTGTGTTGTAAACCAGCAGGGCATACAGCCTCTGCTACAAAACAAATAGTCGCACAGGCCAGTGAATTCTGAGTGTCTTTTAACCTGTCACACCTACAAACAACGACCTGTGCTTCCTCACCTTCATCCAAGCTACATTTCCATCAGTTGCTTTCAGAAACTCATCGAGCTTCTCAGACCAGCTCAGGTTCCTACTCATTTTGTGGCAGGGGTTTTTAACTCCCTAGCTTCTCCTATCCTTGCTCTCCCAACAGAGTATAACCGGGGCCCAGGAAGGGCCACAGCATTAGAATGGAAGGAGGTGAGTGAGAATGCAATGTCAGGGACAGAGATGCAATATCAAACCAAAACTGCGACTCTGACAGGCACTAGGCAAGGCAGTGGCGTTCTTCGGAACCGGGAGGAAATCCTTTTTTTTTTTTTCCGGAACCGGGGATTGAACTCAGGCCCTTGCGCTTGCCAAGGAAGCGCTTATTCTACTGAGCCATCTCCCCGGCCCCTATTTTTATTTATTTATTTATTTTTATCTTTTTTTTTCGGGAAGAAATCGGAATGCCCTCAAACGCAGATATCAAACCACTGGAAGAGGTGCCGAGACTGGCGCCACCATGCGAAATTTGTGTCAGTATTTACTGCCGCCGCTAAATTCAAACACTGGAACCTGAGGCGAAAGTGTGACTTTAGACAACAGGATACCTTAAAAGTCCGCCTCTTTTGCCTTTTGGTTCCGCCGATCCGCGGCCTAAGAGGCAGTCATGGCGCCCAGCCGGAATGGCATGATTCTGAAGCCCCACTTCCACAAGGACTGGCAGCGGCGTGTGGCTACGTGGTTCAACCAGCCAGCTCGGAAGATCCGCCGGCGCAAGGCCCGGCAGGCCAAAGCGCGCCGCATTGCCCCGCGCCCCGCGTCCGGGCCCATCGTGCGCTGCCCCACCATGCGCTACCACACCAAGGTCCGAGCCGGCAGGGGCTTCAGCCTGGAGGAGCTGCGGGTGGCCGGTATTCACAAGAAGGTGGCCCGGACCATTGGCATCTCGGTGGACCCGAGGCGGCGGAACAAATCCACCGAGTCCCTGCAGGCCAACGTGCAGCGGCTGAAAGAGTACTGTTATGGGTCACTCAGAATAGGAACCAGATCAGCCAGGTTGGAATTTGGAAAGCCGTTTATTACTGAGCTCAGGGCCCCCCAGTCTGCTCTCACGCAGGAGAGGACCGAAAGGGCGGCAGCCCAAGAAGCAGGAAGGGGTTTTAAACCTTGGAATCACATTGCGTTTGATAAGCAAATTTACTGTCTGACACAAAATAAAGCTTTTAGAGTGATTGGGACCAGGACTTGAACTACATTTTCTGGGGCTGTTGTTTCAGTTTCTGGTTAATTTGCACCTGAGTACCTGCAGGCAGCCTTGCATAGCCTGAAGGTTACAAGGAGTTAGAAGCCTTTGTTTAAAGGTATTGGTGAGTTTTATCTAGCAAACTATGGGTAACAGCCACTATTTACTAAACAATCTAAAACAATGGGTGGGTATGCATTTACAACAGAAAGCACAAGATTCACACCCACATAGCCTAAAATGTGAGTTAGCCCATTACAAGTACTGCTCCAAGCTCATCCTCTTCCCCAGGAAGCCATCGGCCCCCCAAAAGGGAGACAGCTCGGCTGAAGAACTCATGTTGGCCGCCCAGCTGACAGGACCTGTGATGCCCATCAGGAATGTCTACAAGAAGGAGAAGGCCAGGGTCATCACAGAGGAGGAAAAGAACTTCAAGGCATTCGCCAGTCTGCGCATGGCCCGTGCCAACGCCCGGCTCTTTGGCATCCGGGCCAAGAGAGCCAAGGAAGCCGCAGTGCAGGATGTTGAGAAGAAAAAATAAAACACTGTTGGGATCTTGTAATAAATGCTCCGAAAAGCCAAAAAAAAAAAAAAAAAAGTCCGCCTCTTTTAAAGACAAACAGCGCTGGAGGAGACCGACCTAACATTTCCAAGGAAGAATACATGCGTTCACACCCCCACCAAGAAGCCTGTCGGGACACCGAGTCCTCTAAACTCTATAACAATGGGTTCCAAAACAAAACTGGACTACCAGTCCCAGGATGCATAGCGCAGACCCGATTTTTTAGCGGGCTGCTGGCCCCAATCACTCCAGGGAAATGGAGTCCAAGCTGCAGTGGAAAATAACGGCCCAATTGGCCTTAAGACTTCATTTCCCAGAAAGCTCAGCGTGTGCTGTGTGTAGTGTGTGCAGCGTGTGCTATGGATCCGCTTGTCGCAGAGCTCAAGCAGAAGGTTGAAGACACGCTGTGCCCTTTTGGCTTCGAGGTTTACCCCTTTCAGGTTCGTTTATTACTCCAGTAGTTCTAGGGTGAGGTGTGTGATTGACCTGGGTGCAACTAGTTTGAAGCCTCGGGAGCCTTTTGATTATCCCCAAACTCTTCTGGGCTAACGATGGGGACAGTGTGTCAGCGGGGACTTGCATTAAAAAAAAAAGAGAGAGAGAGAAAGAGAAGCGGTTGTATTTGCCTTCTACTCCCACCATACGATCCTGTATCCTGTGTGGCTTTTTCACCTACGTAATTTACAAGAAGAAAGGCACCTATAGGGTCTGAATCACCTTGGAAGCTTCTAATGGAATTAGGAGACCTCAAGATGTGAATGATTGGCATGGCTATGATTTAGGTTAACTAAGACAGGAAGGGCATTTCTGGTACTGAGCGAGAAACAATTGGCTGGCCAGGCGTGGTGGAGCACATCTGTATTCCCAGCACTGGAAAGCTGAGGTAAGAGTATCACTGTAAGTTCAAGGCCAGCCTGAACTGCATAGTAAAACCTTATCTCAAAAAAGCAAACAAGAAAGAAAGAAAATAATTAGCTGATAAAGAAGGATAAGCTCCAGACATTTCTAGGTAAATGGGTGCACCTTAAGACTGTACTTGAAAGTGAAATAAATCGAACACACATGTGTAAATACCAACTTGTTTCTCTAGTGTGAGAAACTGAAAGTGTAGAGAAGGACCAAAATATATAATAGGTATTGTGTAATAGGAAGAAATGTTCAAATAGGGAGGGGAACAAAGGAAGAGGAGAAGGGAAGGTTAAGAAAGAAAAAAAGGAACAAAATGGATACAAAACTTGTGTAGGAAAAAAAAAAGTATGTAGATGGTGAAGGGAGGAGAGGCTGAAGGGAGAGGAGAAGAATGGGGGGAAAAGTTATATCATGTACAGATACAAATTCTCTATTATGAATGTGACCCTATGTATATCTAAAATGTATCAATAATCTGTGATTGGAAAAAGAAGAAAAGAGAGAAGAAAGAATTGGCTGGTTTGTCCCTTGTAGCAACAGAAGGGTAATTCATGATGTTGCTAATCAACAGGACTGAGCCAAATATAGAAATCCTGAATACTCGCCTGGCACAGAAGTCTCTGGCACCTACCCTCACCCCATCTCCAGTCCTTTTACATAAGTTCAGTTCCCCCCATCAGTGCTGGCTGCACTGAGTTGTATACTTAAAACACAAGGTTAAATCAACTTGACATTAAATTTCCTGATGCTTAATGACAGCCTTACTTCCTACTCATCCCACTGAGAGGTGCACAGCAGGGCTGCACAGAGAATGTAAAGGGTGCAATAGATTCCATGTAGCTTGGGCAAGAACATGACAAAAAAAAAAAAAAAAAAAAAAAAAAAAGAGAAAAAAAGAAAGTGAGGGCTGGAGATGTAGCTTAATGGTAGAGTATTTGACTAGCATGTTGAATACTCAACTTGCCAGGTGTGATGGTGCACTCCTGTAATCCCCACACTCAGGAGGCTGAGGCAGGAGGATTGCTTCAAATTTGAGGCCAGCATGAGCATGGGCTGTTGCAAAGTGAATTCAAGACAAGCCAGAACTGCAAAAAGACCAAAGGCAGATGGGGGAACGAAATTCAATTATATATGACAAGCTCCTCCAGCAAAGATAAAGAGGATTCCTGCAAGCTCAAGGCCAGCATGAGTAACATCCCAAAATTCAGTGTGAGTAAAAATATGGAAGTAGTGATGCATGGCAGATGTGGAGGACAGAGAGAACGCCTATCTGGAAAGTCTGGGTAGTAAGAACTGTTGTACTGAACAGTGTGAGCTGCAGCCCAGCTATTTAGTCTGAACCCCTACTCCTGACCTCTCCTAACCTACATGGACTCACCCAGCAAAATCTTTGTCCCCATGGGGCTGGGGAAATAGCTCAGTAGAATAAGTACTTGCCTGGCAAGCGCAAGAGCCTGAGTTCAATCCTCGGTTCCAAGAAAAAAAAAAGATCTTTGTCTCCTGAATCTCCCAAATCCATCCCTTTCTATCCCTCCTATCCATGCTCTGGTCACAGTTGCTGTTACTCATTTGGGTTATTGTAATAACCTCCTTGCTATAATCTTGCCTCTAATCCCTCCTCTACACTTCAGCCAGATATTTCTTTTTTTTTTAATGTGTATTTATTTATTTATTGTGTGTGTGTGTGTGTGTGTGGCCAGCTCAGCCCACCAGGGGGCAGGGCTGGCTGGTATGTGGTGCTGGGGGATTGAACCGTGGTCCCTGTGTTTTGCTTAGCTTAGCTTGTTCTAAGTAGGTGCTTTAGACCACTGAGCCATCTCACCAGCCCCGATATTTCTTTTTTTTTGTTTTTGGTGCCGAGGACTGAACCCAGGGCTTCCAGCTTGCTAGGCAAGCATTCTACCGCTGAGCCAAATCCACAGCCCCTCAGCCAGATATTTCTAAAGCTAATCATATCAGTTTACTGTGTGTGTGTGTGTGTGTGTGTGTGTGTGTGTGTGTGTGTGTGTGGAACCAAGTATTGAACTCAGGCCCTTGCACTTGCCAGGCAAGCATTTATTCTACTGAGCTACCTCCCTGGTCCCTACTCTTGATTTTGATTGCTGTTTTGCTTTTCTATTTATAGTCCTGGGAATCAAACTAAGCATGTTAGGCAAGTGCTGTACCACTCGGCTACATATCCACCCCTCACTTTACTTTGTTTGTTTTTGCGGAATCCAGGGATTAAACTCAGGCCCTTGCACTTACCAGGCAAGTGTTTAGTCTACTGAGCTGTCTCCCTGGCCCCCTCACTTTACTTTAAATCTTCAGTGGTTCTTCATTGTCACCAAATTGATCCATAGTCCTTAAATTGGTGTTCAAGGTCAGTCACAGTCTCACTCCTCAGTCTCCAGCTTAGTCTCTGTTCTCTGATATAGACCTTTCTCCTCTGTCAAACTACTGTTTGTTTTTCTACACACAGGCTCTGTACTTTTCTACCTGTGCCTTTCTTTACCGTGTAACCTCTATTTAAAATATACAATGATACCAATTTGATTTGAAACTGTCTCATTGCTATTTGTTTCTCAATAAAATTATGGAGAAAAAAATAAAATATACTATGGGAGGGCCAGCCAGATAGCTCACTGGGCTAAAGCACCTGCTTAGGTAGGCACAGGGACCCACGTTTGATCCGCAGCAAGCCATGCTGGCCTTACCCCCCAGAGTGTGCTGAGACAGCGATTGAGACTGAACCCGGTGGCGCACCTGTAATCCCAGTGCTTGGGAGACTGAAAACAGGAGGATCACTACAAGTCCAAGCTGTGTAATAGACCCTGTAGACTATAAAAAATTTTTAAAAGTTAAAAAAAAAATAAAATAAAATATACAGTGGGGCTGAGGAGGGAAGGGATAGAAAATGGTTAAGATATGATAATAGAGGTACCAATTCCCGAAATTTTTTGTTTTGTTTTGTTTTGTTTGCAATACTGGGGATTGAACTCAGGACCATCTGCTTACCAGGCAAGTGCTAACTGAGCTATCTCCCTGGGCCCCAATTCCCCAAAATGAATAGACTATTGTGTACAAGTATGCACTAATAGGGGCTGGTAAGATAGCTTAGCAGTCTAAAGCACCTGATTAAGCAAGCTTAGGCAGATGCAGGGGACCACACTTTGATCCCCAGCATCACATGCTGCTGAGCCAGCCTCCCCCCAAAAAAGATAGATAGATAGAAAATTAAAAGAAAATATTATGGGCATAGACAGTAATATAAATAGAAAGCAATGAGGTTTGTTTTGTTTTGACTGTTTTTCCTTTCTTTCAGAGGTCTCACTTCTCAGTTTAGGCTAGCCATAAATTCACTATTTAGCCAAGGCTGGCCTCAAAATCATGGTGATTATCCTGCCTCAGCTTCCCCAGTGCTGGGATTATAGGCATGCATCACTATGCCCAGTGTGCATTTTATGTATTTTTTAAACGCTAAAAACTCAGTATTGGGGCTGGTGAGATGGCTCAGTGGTCTAAAACACCTACTTAGAACAAGCTAAGCTAAGCAAAGCACAGGGACTGCGGTTCAATCCCCTAGCACCACATGCCAGCCAGCCCCGCCCCCTGGTGGGCTGAGCTGGCCACACACACACACACACACACACACACAATAAATATTTTTTTAAAAATAAATAAAATAAAAACTCAGTATTGCCAGGCATGCTGGCACATGCCTATAATCCCAGCATTCAGGAAGGTGAGTCAGGAAGATCTCCACAAGTTCCAGGCCAGCCTGGACTATATAGTGAGTTCAAGGGCAGCTTGAACTGCACAGTGAGTTTCTATCTCAAACCATCCCCACCAAAAAACCCCAGAAGTTTCTCCCTCTTACCATCCTTCAATGATCCTCCTTCCTCAGCCTCCCAAATGCAGAGATTTCTGGCATGGCTCACTATGACCGGCTCTGTTCTACTTTTGGAGTGCAAGGGGTTGAACCCAGGGGTTCGTATATACCAAGCAAGTACTCTGCCAACTAAGCTATATCCCTAGCCCTCTGCCTATTTTATTTCCCTGTCCAAAACAAAACAAAAAAAGCTGGGCATGGTGGTGCATGCCTGTAATCCCAGCACTTGGGAAGCTGAGGCAAGAGGATCATTGTGAGTTTGAGACCAGCCTGGGCTACAAAGTGATCTCAAGGCCAGCCTGTCAAATTCGGATGAGTTGCTCATATACTGTGTATACATGATACATCATCACCAAAAATTTATCCAATGAGATGGAGGCTGGGGCAAAATGTATGAAACATGGATACTCAGCTAGATATGGACTTGGCTAAGGCCTAAGCGAGCTCTCTGGCCTGGCCTGAGGTTTTATTTCTATTCCAGGTGGCCTGGTACAATGAACTTCTGCCTTCAGCCTTCCACCTGCCCCTGCCAGGACCTACCCTGGCCTTCCTGGTACTCAGCACACCTGCCATGTTTGACCAGGCCCTCAAACCATTCTTGCAGAGCCGCCACCTCCAACCACTGTCTGACCCCGTGGATCAGTGTGTGGCCTACCACCTAAGGCGTGTTTCAGAGGTGAGCAGGCTTCATTTTTACACAACCCTCAAACCTACACCTGCTTCCATCTTCACATAGCTCAGTCCAAGATCTAGACCTACAGCTAGGAACTACTTCACGTGACATGACAACCTGAAACCAGCTGTGATATTTGGTGATTTCACCCTCTTCCACTTTCTCACACCCAAGTTCTACCCTCTTTAGCAGATTCAGTGTAAAATTCATCTCACTTACCCTACAATGATGGGCAACTCTGCAAACTTGACGCCAGTCATCATAATAGGAATGAGCCAATTGCCCAAGCATTGTTTTCCCCCTCTGCCCTACATTTGCAAGCCTTATGCAGTGCTTGTGGCCTTTACAGAAGAGCAGTATTTTTTTTTTCCAAATGCCTTCAGGGCAGGTTTGGCTGGCTTGTGTTGTGGGGATCGAACCACAGCAACCTGAGCCTGACTGCTTTGTTGAAACAGCCACTTAAAAGAACTGAGCTAAGGAGCAGGCCCCCAGAAGAGCAATATTTCAACACCACATGTACTGAGATGTACACATGCTGAGTGTCACCACGCTGAGATTCCAACTGAGCACCTTGTGTAGAAACGAGACCTCGCAGAAAGATGTGTAATTTTCTTCACTTTGTAGCCTCCACATGTAAATGTCATGTATTCCCTTCAAGCAAGACTTCCAAGGACAGATCCACTTTAGTAAACACAAATTAAGGCTCCAGGACAAAACCACAACTCCTTTTATGCTTTCATAGGTTTTTTATTTTTCCGGTAGCAGGGATCAAACTCAGGACCTTGTGCTTGCCAGGCAGGTGCTTATGCTACTGAACTATACCCAGCACAATTCTTATGCTGACTGGAGCCTCTCTTTTGTCTCAGAGCCTCCCAGAGCTGCAGGTGGAAGTCATTGCCGACTATGAGCTGCACCCCAATCGGCGTCCTAAGATCCTGGCCCAGACAGCAGCCCATGTTGCAGGAGCTGCTTATTACTATCAACGACAAGACGTGGAGGCTGACCCGTGGGGGTCCCAGGTCAGAGGACAAATGGGAATGAGTGGGGTATACTGAGGGAAAGAGTAAAGGCTCTTCAAAATTACCCCATCAGGTCCCACATAATTCCACTTTCCCTGGATGAAATTCACATACAATGTAGAACAAGGGAGTAATGTCCTGGCCCAGGGACCCACCCCACCACATGCTTTTTGGAACTTACCTAGACAAATTAGGTCAGAAAACCTGGTCTAGCTAGGTGATGCTGCATGCCCATAATGCCAGCACTTGGAGGCTGTGGCAGGAGAATCAGAGGATCTTATATTCAGTTCAAAGTGAGCCTGGACTACATAGTGAGATTCTACCTTGAAAAACTGAAAATAAAAAAGCAAACTTTCTATTAGTCTTTAAAACCCTGCTTTTCAGGGCTGTCTCAGGTGGAAAGAAAGCAGAAACCAAAAAGCAGCAAGACTAGAGAATTTGAGGCTCAGCTTGAGGGAGCACTTCCTTAGCATGACTTTATCCAAGTGCTCCAATTGGGGACAGTTGCACACACCCGTAATCCCAAACACTCAGGAGCCTGAAGCAGGATGTAAAGTCCAAGGCCAACCAGGGCAGTTAGCCAAGAAGGCTGTCCTACAATTTAAAGGGGAAAGGATACTCAATGGTAGAATACTTGCTAAGCCCCCTAGTTCAAGGGGGAGTGTATGGAGTCAGTATATGTTGAGTGGAAGGTAAGTGATGAAGTGATTTGCAGGAATAGTAGTTAGAAATGGTGACAAGGTAACCTCCATTGAGATTGCTTTTCCTGTTATCCCCAGCACATAGCAGGCGTGTGCATACATCCCCGATTTGGAGGCTGGTTTGCCATTCGAGGGGTGGTGTTGCTGCCAGGGATCCAAGCACCAGATCTACTGCCCAGAAAGCCCCCTGACTGTGTGCCTGCAAGAGCTGACCGAATTACCCTGCTTGAGAACTTCAATTTCCACTGGAGAGACTGGACTTACCGGGATGCTGTGAAGCCCCAGGAGCGATACTCAGAAGAACAAAAAGCCTACTTTTCCACACCACCTGCCCAACGCCTGGCCCTATTAGGCTTAACCCCACCCTCTGAGAAGCCTAACACACCCCTTGAACTTCCCCTTACTAAGCTAACTGAGAAGCCACATAAGCTACCCAAAGGTAGAAGCTGGCTCAGCCCCAGTGTCTCACCACCTGGATCCCCTGGCCCTTGGTACCATCAACCCCTGTAGGAACCCATTTATCCTGCTGCTTACCAGGACTTAATTGGCCTTGGCACAGCAAAGTTTTAGTTCCTATAGGAAATAACTCCTTTGGGTAAAGATATCTTCAATGAAGAATAAAGTTCATTTTAGGTTTCAAGGGCTGGTCAAAGACCCATCTAGAAGATAGCCTGTTTTGGTCTCCCAGTCCTCCCAAGGTTAGTTAGGGCCTGGGGGTGACGACCCCTAATGACCACCTCGAGTTATAAACCAACTATCTAAGGCACTTAGAAGCACCTAAGAGTATGCTGGTGGGCAAGGGAAATGTCCCAAGTTCAATCTCAGTACAATAAAAAAAATTTTTTTTTGAAGTATGTTGGCTATCACTAAAAGCCCAAGAATCCTGCATTGTTTATAGGTCTGGTCTGTTACATGGAAGGTAGACAAAATACAACATGAAGGCCATGTGATAAAAGGAGGCATGAAGCAAAAGACTCATTAACTTCCACCCAAGGATACCAATGCCATCTTCCATTCAGTTCCAAAGGGACTAAAGTTTCAGTTCTCTTTTATAGGGCAGGTACAAGGCTTTTGTCATAAGATGTCAAACTTCTGGTTCCCAGGCAGCCCTTCCAGTTGTATTAATGATAAAAGGGGCCAGGGAGATGGCTCAGTGGAATAAGTGCTTGCCTGGCAAGAGCAGGGGCCTGAGTTCAATTGCCAGTTCTGCCAAAAAAAAAACCCAAAAACAAAACGATATATAAGTAATCTCTATTCCGGGGAGATGGCTCAGTAGAATAAGCGCTTCCCTGGAAAGCGTAAGGGCCTGAGTTCAATCCCTGGTTCTGCAAGAAAAAATATCAGAAACAATCTCACTAAAGCCATAAATTGTAACCTGGTATGTAACATTACAAGAGTACTAACACCATTCCTTGGGTCTACCTGCATTTTCCAAAACAATTTTTTTGGGGGGAGGGGAAGATCAGGATCAAACTCAAGACCTTGCACCAGACCCGCCCAATATAATTCTTTTTTTTTTGGAATTCTAATTCTGAGGCAGCTCTCAATTTTTTTTCCCCCTGCAGGGATAATCCAAGTTATTATCTCATTAAAACAAAAAATCACCAACATCTCAATTCCGAGTTTTAATAGGCACTACAAAAGGTCAACGAATGGCCTTGGCACTGCTATTGGGACATCACATATTATCATTTTCATATGGTCCACTACTAAATCCAGCTCAGGCCATTATCACCAGTGGAAGATGGTTTCCCAACCCCTACAGGAAAAACACATTGTCACACAAATCGTGTTTAAAGCATGAAAAAAAAAAAAAATGTACAAAAGAGATTTTGTTCTCTTGGCCCACTGCTCACTTCTGCTTAGAGAAATACTCTTTGCTTTTCTGGACATCTGGCTTGATGGTATCACTGCCAGGCTTCCACCCAGCTGGGCACACTGCAAGAGAAAGGAACAACTCATTACTACCCTCGCTGTTATGTACCACCCTATTCCTATGGACAGTGGGCTACCTCACAATCAATCTGAGCATTCCGTCTCAGGACAGAAAACTTTCGATGCAATTTCTCAACCATCCTTTCAGTGTCAAGTTAATTACTTTATAAACATTAATCTTCACAGCACTAGCATATTTGTATCTAATTTCTTCATATACCTAACATTTAAAATTAAGTAACGGGGCTGGTGAGATGGCTCAGTGGTCTAAAGCACCTACTTAGAACAAGCTTAGCTAAAGCACAGGGACCGCGGTTCAATCTCCAGCACCACATGCCAGCCGGCCCTGCCCCCTGGTGGGCTGAGCTGGCCACACACACACACACAAAAAAAAAAATAAATAAAATAAATTAATTAAAAAAATAAAAGTAGCAACTTCAAATATGTTGGGGTTTTTTTTCTCCTTGGACACAAGGTTTCACTACCTAGTTTAGGCTGGCCTTTAATTTAAAAATCCTCTGGCCGCTTTCTGGTGGCGCAGTAGAAGCAGAAATTCTTTAAGACCAAGAAAAAGTGATGGAAAAATCAGGAATGGATCCTGTTAACTATATGACATCTGATGCAGCTGTAGAAATTGAAAATCAAAGTGATAGCTCTTCATCGGGTAGCAGCTTATTTAAAACACAATGTGCACCTTCCTTACCTAAACGGACTCAAAGAAAACCTGTGAAGAAACTGGTTCATATACCTGAGAATATTCAAACAGATTCATCCAGTGACTCATCCATAGAACCAAGACCATTGACTTTGAAGGCTATTTTTGAAAGATTCAAGAAGAAACGTAAGAAGAGGAAATACAAGCCAAAATTAACACCAAGAGGAAGACCAAAAGGAAAGGAAAACACTAGAAGATCAAACAGATAAAAAACAAATCAAAGAAAAAGGACCTACGTTTCCAATTTTACAGTCTGAGGATGGAAGGAAACCATTACCTTGGAGGAAGATTTTAAGTTTTGAGCAAGCTGTTGCAAGAGGATTTTTTAACTATATTGAAAAACTGGAGTACGAATACCACCTTAAGGAATCACTGAAACAAATGAATGTTGGTGAGGATTTAGAAAAAGACGACCTTGATAGTCGTAGATACAAATACTTGGATGATGACGGCTCCATTTCTCCTATTGAAGAGTCAGGAGCAGAAGATGAGACAACACATCTTGAACATGATGCATGTGATATCAAATTAGTAGAGGAGAGTTGTTTCATTATAAGTTCTGAATTTTCAAGCAAGATGAATGTGTGTTTACCAAAAGAGAAGAATAAAGAAGCTGCTTTGTCTACAAAGAGAGTTTCTAAGGCCAGAAATAACGGACAGAGGGCAGAAAGATCTGAAAAGGAGATAAACGTGAATGTCATAGAAGGTGGTGGTACGTGAAGATACCTTTTATTCTTACAGGATTCTGTTTAAACATGGGCCTGGAGTTGAAAGGTATAAAAACAAATTTTAAGATGTTGGCAAAGAAAATTGATACATGACATAAAATGGAAAAATGGACTGTTTTGCCCTGTGATTTATTCAATTGGCAGTTCTCCATGGTTCATCCAGATTCATAGCCCTGCATACCTGGGACTGGTTGGCAGAGCAACAATGATCTTGACTCTTGCTTTATTCAGAGTTAAACCCAGAGCCTTGTGTATGTACTGCCTGAGAGCTAATCATTGGTGACTTGACTTCATTCCATGTGTAAACTGACTGGATAAGGATTATAGTCCTTATACATGGTGAACTAATTCAAATAATCATTAATAAAAGTTAATTGTTGGGGTTGGTGAGATGGCCCAGTGGTCTAAAGCACATACTTAGAACAAACTTGGCAAAGCACAGGGACCGCGGTTCAATCCCCCAGCACCACATGCCAGCCAGCCTGCTCCCTGGTGGGCTGAGCTGGCCACACACACACAC